TGCGGCTTCTGGTCTTGCTGGCGTTGGCGTGGCTTTCAGTGAGGGAGGTGAAACCGCGCTCCTGGTTTGGATCCCAATCGACAGTAGGTTATGCGCAGTGAGACTTAGAGGCTCGTGCAAAGTAAATAGTCGTCGCTTCGAACGACGTAACTTGTTTGTCGTCTCAGCGTACCTACTGTAGCCCAGATACAGTCAAAAATACTTTCTACCAAAAGCTACATGACCTCTTGCGTAGGGCAAATCGGGCTGATACCGTGATTTTAGTAGGAGATATGAATGATAGAGTAGGCTGACTGACTTCGAATGAGGCGCATCTAGGTGATCCTTTCGGACTAGATTCCTGTCGCTCCGAAAACGGGTAAGGGCAGCTGGCTCTGTGTTCTGACCACCGCCTATTACTCACCAGTACGAACTTCAGACGCTCCAACTGCCGTTACACCACGTGGCGTCCACCCTCCTAGAGTCAGCAACAAACGCAGGTAGACCACATCGCTTTAAGCTACAAATGGCGGGGTTACATTCAACACTGTCGATCGTACTGGAGCATTACCCTCGAATCCGATCACGCGTTAGTTAGCTGTCCATGTGCTTCGGTGGGCGTCCATCNCATCCGAGTCACCGGTAAGAAAGCCCTGGGTGTGAGCGAGACGATCTATGAAGCTGATGGATCGCTTAATCAAAATCAACAGCGACGTCTTGAAATCTGGGCGGAGCACTTCAAAGCACAATTTAGCCGGTCACTCGCGCTAGCATCTCACACAGTTATTCCGGCACACGTCCCATGCTCTGTTTCAACAGATCCACCTTCTGAGGTGTAAGTCCGTAAGGAGATCCAAGCCTTGGAACGTCACAAAGCGCCGGGCTCCGATGACCTTCCCCCAGCTCTATTCAAAGATGGTGGAAGCTTGTTAGCTTGTTAGGTAACTCCACGTCCTGCTCTCTAAAGTTTGGAACACTGAGCAGGTCCCCTCCTTGTGCGGGGGAGGGGAGTCGATTGTCGTTCCCATCTTTAAAAAGGGTCCGCGCAATGATTGCGCCAATCATAGGGGTATAAGCCTGTTAGCGTTAGCGTTCGTCATTCTTCGTAGATTGTACAAAACGAGCGGGGAACATGCCCGTGAGGAGCAGGCTGGGTTTCGTGCCGGTCGTGGCTACATCGGTCAAATCTTCACCCTCCGACAGTTGTTTGAGCACCGTCATGCTTACCGTAGACCAACGATCAGTGTGTTCTTAGACATTCGCGCGGCCTTTGATTCTGTTGATAGGACCGCACTATGGAGGTGTTTGTTGATGAATGGAGTATCAGAGAAGTATGTGTCGATCCTCAAAGAGTTGTATCGCCATACCTCAGGTCGGGTCAGGGCTTATGGCCAGCTTTCACCACCTTTCGCCGTCTCCAGTGGAGTTCCACAAGGCTGCCCTATATCCCCTTTCTTTTTCCACCTCGCCATAGAGAACATTCTGCAGGACGCTTTGTCCGGTGTAGCAGACGGGGGAGTCGAACTCCTCCCAGGGAAAAGAGTTCTTGACTTAAAACCGATGACATCACCTTGTTGGGTGACAATGCACAGGCAGACCAACGAGCTTTACACCACTTGGCGATACAGGTATCCAGGTATGGTATGTGCTTTGCACCATCAAAGTGCTTCAAGACTTACAGGAGTCTGTACCTGCACTCACCTGTGGTGATCAGCTGGAAATGGTCGAGAGCTTTAAGTACCTCGGGAGCTTAATCACAGTCGGAGGTGGGATTGGGGAAGATATCACATCACGAATAGCGAAAGCTAGAGCAGCTTTCGCCAGCCTGCGACACCTGTGGTGCCGCCGTGACATCCGACTGTCTCTTAAGGGAAGAGTGTACATCGCCGCGGTCCGTAGTGTTCTGCGAGACCTGGCCTCCGAGAACAGGATGTTAATCGACCTTCCGTATTCTACCACCGATGTCTTAGAAGCATTGTTCATGTCTGATGGGAACATCAGGTGAGCAATGATGAAATTCGTCGTCATGTGCTGGGTACTGATGGTCGTTTTCTAACGGAAGAAATCATTATACACCACTTCCGATGGCTCGGTCATGTTTTGCGTGTGCCGGCCCATCGACTACCTCGCCGTGCTCTCTTTGCATGTGTTGGGCAAGGTTGCAAGAAGCTTCGCCGCGGTCAGACCACGACATGGTGTAGAGGCATAAAGATGGCTAGAGACGCTGGGAAATATGGCTCAGAATAGATGTCAGTGGCGCGATTGCTGTGCGATTTGTTTGACGAAACCCCTTATCCGATAACAAAAAGGTCTTCAAAAAGTGTACGGTGAAATTAAAAAAATCCTTCATTTATATATTCGTTCTCCGTGTTCTCGGTTTTCCCCATATTCATCTAATCTATCTGTACCTCTACGTAACTTCATTATCATTGTTTTGCATCGGCACCATGCTTGTCCTCAAGCCGGTGTGATATATATCATTACGAATTGTTCATCTTTTGTGTTCCCGTTTCCTTTACAGGTCTTTGAGAATGCCCCCTGCCGTTACGCATGTGATATTTGATGTGGACGGATTGTTGCTGGACACAGAGGTTGTGTATACCGCCGCGTCTACCGAAGTTCTAGATAAGTATGGACTAAAACTCACGTACGCTGTGAAGCGTAAGCTAATGGGCAGCAAACCGACAGAAGCCGCGCGGATTTTGGTCAACGAGCTATCTGCTCCTTTCACTCCGGAAGAGTGGCACATTAAAGTACACGAAAAATTGACACCGGAACGGTGGCATCAAGTGGCTTGTCTACCGGGTGCTGAAAGATTAGTCATGCATTTGGCCAAGCATGGCATCCCTATGGCTGCGGCTACTGGGTGCGCCAGTAAAGAACTGGGTGAGAAAATGAAAAATCACCAAAATATTTGGAAAAAATTGGACCACGCTGTAGCTTCTGGAGACGATCCGGAAGTGAGTATAATTCTTCTAATAATGCTAATTTGCCTTTTGTCTTTACACCTGGCTATCTTATCAACAGTATGGGTGCTTTCTCGATTCTGATCAGCGATGTTGTTTGGTCCCAATTTCACTGCAGGCCTACGTGGTTCAGTCGTTCATATATAGAGAGAGATTACCAGATACACATGCCTGACGAGCGGCAAGTATCGCGAAACCGGTCGTGTGCTTCCAGAGAAAAAATTTATCCAATTATTCACATACTACTTGTTATGATATATATATATATATATATGTATACATTTAACACGTAGTCAATTACATAAAAGTGGGAGATGTGGCACAACATATGAAGAAAGAGATGTGAAAACGGTTTAAATGTGAATCAACGAATAAGAGTTTCGTGACAGGTGCGCCATTGACGCCGGTTACCAGCCATGTCTGCAAGTGTCTCAAGCCATAGAGGTTACCTGTCCTTGGGACACTAACCTGGGAGTCTAGAGCGTCCTACCACTGCCAGTTTTGAGGTTAGCTTAACCAGACAGTGGGAGTCTATTTTGGTCTATGGGATGCACTCGCTGGGACTTCTTAGCACGACGTGTCTCAAAAGGGCTGTTAACCGTTTCATCACTTAAAATGCGGTAGAATTTTGAGAAATCGACCAATCGTCATTGTTGTTTGATGTCATTTTTAATTATATTGAAATACTATATATTCCGTTTTTAACTTGTCTCAAAGAAAATAGAGACTCGCGATAGGCTGATTGCCGTATTAGAACAATCCTGTTAAGGATAGGCAATTTGTTATCATGCGGTCATCATTTAGCTTTCTTCTGTTGCTACCTCAACATTTTCCGCCCAATTCAGGTTGCTCACGGGAAACCAAAGCCCGACATCTTTCTCATTGCCGCGCAAAGATTTACCAGCCCGCCCAAGAGCATGGAAACAGTGCTCGTGTTCGAAGATTCCCCACTTGGTGTGGAAGCCGCTGTCAAAGCAGGCATGCAAGTCGTTTGGGTATCACAACCCGAGGAACCGCCAGGAGATGCCCCCGAAACAATTGCCCCGGCCGATCGACATCGCGTTACCCGTTACCAAAGTTTGTTAGACTTCGAGCCTCAGCGTTTCGGGCTTCCTGCATTCTAGTCAGCAANAAATTTTCTTTCCAAAAGAAAACCATAGGCATTTGTTTTTTTATCCTCGCCTCCTTCCCCCACCAGCCTCCGATAATGGCGTGCATTTCGTAAAATACACCTGCTCTCTATCCTGTCCTTTCTTCTTCTAGTTGAATACGGTTAAATCCCCAGGCTTACGTCTAATCACGCGTAATCACAGCGGTTAATTCCAGTTGTTACCTAGGTGGATTCAAGTGGAATGTTTTTGCGGTCAGAGAAGAAAGTGTTCCCGTGTGCATCGAGCACACCTCGAATCGCAGCATCGCTCGAAGGGGTTATATGTGTGATTTTACCAGAACGAACAATATTAACCGAAAATCAGACATGGAAGCGGAGGGCAGCTCATTTAGTGGTTTTAACCATAAAATGAGGTTGGATTCAGAGCTCCCTTTCGTTCAGGTGAGTTAGTTTAGCACATGGAGAAACGCACCGTACTAAGACGGATCTCATGAGTGGTGGTGGGGGGGGGGGGAAAGNGAAAGAGAGTAAGGTTGCACTAATTCGACAGACGCACTGCTTGACACAGTTCACCGGATATTGCACAGGAATCGTGTGTTTGGCCACTCAATGTAATGGCCTCAGACTATGGTAGGTGAATGTACATACGTGTATAAACCGGGATTAACTTGTAAATGGACTCTGCAAAGAAAGGGTTTGTCCTATCACTCCTCTCGCGGAGTGCTAGAACATCGACACCGAGCATGCATGTATTTTCTACACACAAAAATATCTAAATCCGCGTGTATGCGTAGACTGATTAAACATTGCTAATCGGATCCCAAATACTGCGTTTATCCCACACGGATTACTATTCGTAACGCGGTTTAAATTGGTCGTAGATTTGCATTTAGTCCTAGACTACTGATTCTTTGTCACCGTTTTGTCAGATGAAACACAGAACTCGTATTTAATGTCTCTTTCTGGGGGAGGATAAATCAATCGAAACCCGGCCTTACCCATGTCCATACTCTTTCTTGAAGATGACAAAAGCGAGCAGTCTTTCTACTTACTAATAGTTAAAAAACGGTTGTAAATGAATCACAAAACCACATCGAAATTAGTAGTAGTGTCGATATGAAATAAGGCGGTGATAACGTCACCAAACTACCCCCCCCCTCCAGAGGACGTGAGTTTGAATCCCACCACCACCGTTGTCTGACTTTCCCCATTCTCTGTGTTTTGTACGGCAGCCCTTTGGTTAGCCAACTCCCCTCTTCCTGAAAATTGTTTTATTGTGTATTCAATAAAAGGAAATTAAAATTAGATAAACAATGGCATATTTCCATAAGGCATGCCGAACAGGGAAAACATTGTACTGTTTGGTTTCATCATGCTATGACCTCGTTTCTACTGTATTTGTATGTTCTAACCTCCTATATTTTAAAGATGTCCTAGATCGATCCGCGAATTCGTATCACATGATCCCAGTGAAGGATTTGATGACGAAGGTCATCAAGTAGGAAACAAACAAAGCGTGGGCTGAAAAGCTAGGAATCACTGGAAAGCTGCTTTCCAGCTGGTCGGGTCTCATAAGTAGCGAGATTTCATCTACCTAACAGNCCCGATGGTCACGTGAGTAGAATGCCCCTGTTCTACCTCTGAGCTTCCGGGTTCAATCCTCAGTTAGGCCGGTAGATTTGCACTACTGATGAGACCCCAACCAGGTCGAAAGAGATGTACATTGCCTTCCATTCATTTTTACTTCCTTTTATTGTATACAATACAACTTTCGTTCAGTCCTACTTTATGTTTGTGAGACCTTGAACTTGCTAGTAGAAATCCATCCTTTTAACACATCAAATTCACATCAGTAGGCTTCGCTGGCTAAGGCACCTATTGCGTATGCCCAACCATCGTCTACCACATCGTATCTTATTCGCTGTAGCCTCTCCGTTCTGAAGGAAACTACGTGGACGCCAACAGATGACGTGGATACGAGATAGGAAGAAATGCACAGCACCATTAGGCAGAATAGGTGTCTCGCGCCTCGTACGCATTGCGACTTTGGCAGCGATCAGCGATCCCAACAATTCCAGTAAAAAGACAGTTAGAAAACAGTTCGAGTCGTAATTGGTATCATCAAGCAAAAGTGTGGTCCTGGTTCGGTAAGGAATAAAACATGTGGTATTTATGGGTTTTCTCACTGTCTAGACATTTGACCGGAATGGAGGTTACGTGGGTGGCGATGGAGGACTTGCTAGAAATTAGGTCATCGTATTCTGCACTTTTACTCTGACGCCCACGTATCCAGTATGATCGAGAAAATGCCGACACATTCAAACAGTCGCGACCAATCCAAATCCGGTTTTGATTCATACAGTGAGAATTCTCTGGAGAAGGTTAGGCTTCTCCTGACCGGGCGATAATTCGGTGACGTTACCACCATCGGGCCACCACTTTTTCGTTCCGAAATCAGTTGGTAGATACGCCAGATGATGACATTAATTCCGATATATCTTTTGACATAGGTCTTGGCCTAAATGATGCCCGTCGGAATGAGCTACCAGACGGTGTGTGTATGTGGGGGGGGGGGGTTCCAGATCCACTCGGATTGTGCTTGAAAATTTTAGAATACGTGATTAAACGTCTGCGGCGATGGGACTCGTGGAATGGAATATACCGTGGTTATGTTTACTTTAAATAAATAAAAATAACTATACATTAAGTTTGGCGATTCAGAGTTACAGCAATCGCGCACTTTACGCCCCAGTAGGAACGTATCTTTGGGACAGCTGAAAGGAAGGTACTGCTGGGTCCGAAGAAAATTTATCAAGCCAACAGAAGTACCGGGATCTTCTTTTGGTCTGCAGGATACAATATGTGAAATTCCGCCCAAAAGGATCTCTGATGAAGCTATCGGAGCCTCTGTGCTTTTTGCTCACGGATATATTCGTTGTATTGTGTTTACTAGTCACAAATTTATC